AATTATCTGATATTAAGACTTACTGACCTTGACAAACGGTAACGATATGATTGCCCTGCATGTTTTGCATATTAGTTTCACCAGATGATTTTGATTTCACACACACATCAAAAAAATTCAGATATTTAAAATATTTTAATACATGTTTCAGTGCTTTCCCCCCAAAGAAATAATAAAAATAAACATGCCAAAATACTTTTTTTTTTTTTTGCCTCGCATGATTTATTTTTAATAATGAATGCATGAGTGTATGAATTATATTCTAATCATTATATATAAAAATTGCCTTTGTAATGTATTTTTTTTATTACTTAATAGATTCGGAACCAAAATAAATGTGTCATGTCACTGACCCTTCGATTATTAATACTAAAAGGTCACAAACATCCCAATATAGGCATATAAGCACAATTCAGGCATACCCACAAATCCATTGATTCGGACACTTTGGCCGTAGTTGACCCTTGTGACGGGTGCTACGACGTCATTGAGAAAGACCTGAGAGAAGCCCTCAGCCAGCATGGCCTCCTCCAGCGTCTGATTGACCAGAGTGAGGAAACCGTCTCCACCCATAGCATGAAGAAGCTTCTCCACGCTGGAGAATGAGTAGCCATATTGCTGGTACTGATATATCCTACAGAGAGGACAGAAATGGACAATAAAAGGACTTTAAAGGTGTAGTATGTAATATTAACAGCTGGCGGTTGAAATGGGTACTGCAGTCCAAATTCAAAATATTGTTTCTCCCGCCCCCTCCTCCTCAGACGCGACGCTCCAGCGAGTTGTCAGATTGAGGCAATGAGCAATTTTGACAATGGAAGGCGGTGAGTCTTACACTAAGTTGATGAGTTGATTTATCCTCGTTTTAATATGCCTCTGGTCTTAAGAGGAATTTAGATTGATGCCGAGGCTAATCTGCAATTTCTGACCCAGTTCATTTGCTGGCTTCCATGGCTGCGATACGCTGTTTTCCGCTCTCTAGCAACCCGAGGTGTTGAAATGCTATTGGTTAAACTGGCAGTGGGCGGAATCACACAGACAAAAACAAAAACAGGCATTCCGACACAGAATGCACATTTTCAAAGTAGAATAAGTGGCTTTAGCATTGTTTTTTGGAGAAACAAGTATGTGAACTTGACATGTTTCCTAAATATCTGCAAATATATTATGGTGTTTTTATGTTTTGGTACAGTCAAAAAGTTACATACAGCACCTTTAATATCAACTGGTTATGTTCATTCTATTCACCACTAGAAAAAATTATGGAAACACAACAGACGAACCTCATAAACTTGTCCATTATGCCCTCCACCCACATATGCATTCGAATGAAGTTGAATCCGTATCTCCACAGCATGCATATGAAGTTCACTATGAACCAGTCGCTCTCTTCAAAGGTCAGCTCTTTACCGTCAAATATCGCCAGTTTAGAAGATACATCAGCACGAGGAGACAGACCTGATCAGAGAATATGACACATGCAAGGTTAAGCTGAAAGTATCCAGTTCTGCATTTTAGAGAAGAACATCATAAGGAAAGCTTGAGAGGGAAGTGGATACTGACCGAGTTTGTCCAGAAAGTGCTTCATGTGCAGGTTGAGGGGGTGAATAATGGATCCTCCTGTCTCATACTCATATCCCCCAATGTTTTCAGTGGCCAGACGCCCTCCCACAGTCCCAGCCTCAAACACATCGATCTTCACTGCCGGTCCAAACTCCTGTCTTAAGAAAAACGCTGCTGCCGTACCTCCAATACCACCGCCAATTATTGCTGAAGAAGAAACGCACATTTAGCCCATCAGATCCCACCAAACATTTCCATTAATATACATAATATCCGATACATGAATTTCTAAGGCCTCTAAATTATCAAGATCAAAGAGCAAAACTTTGCTGAAAATCCTGTTGCACACAATCTACTACATGCTTTCTGTCCTCTGATAATTTATACTTTTTAAGCCAGTAAAACGCCTTTTAGTATCATTCTAAAATACTCCCAGCTTCAGGTTGTGCTACACATGTTATTTTTAATTTTTTTGCTGGGAAATATTAAAAAAATTTATAAAGTATGTGTAAGAATAACTTTTATATCGTTAGTTATGCTTCAAAATGAACACTTACTGCAATGAAGCAACTTAGGTTTACTTGATTATACATACAACATTTGTTAAAATGCGAGTATCAAATATGATCATCAGGCTTTTGAGGAACGTTTATATGTTAATCTCTCAATCATCATTGTGTTGCACTGCATTATATGTTTTGCCCCCACAATAAATACCAGTGAGTTTGATCAATAAACGTTTTTAAATGTTTTCTTACTAAGATATATTATTAGAGTGACAGTTGATATTTATATGCGTTTTATAATCTGCTGTACTGTTATAAAGATCTCACTGATTTACATTATAATCAGATTTGCATCTTACTCTATGACCATATAAATATCAGTAACTGCTCACACATATGCAAACCTTTTTCTTTTCTTTTATATTTTGTGTAAAGTTTCAATAATTCTTAGTATTATTTCATGTCAGGTTTTACAGGGATAAAAGTCTTCCATATACTCTTTATTCTTACACAACAAATGAATGATTTGAACTTTATCATACCAATTTTCTTTGGTGCCTCTCTGACTTCGGGTGCAGAGGCAAAACCTCTGCGTCCAACTTGACAAAGCCCCAGGAAGAGGAGAGCCTTCACCGATAAGTGTCTCAGAGCCATTCTAGCGATTCAGTGTTTCACAATATTAACATCTGAAAAACAAATTTTAAGAAAATAGGTAAATTATGCATTTACACGAGCTCAGATTTTCATATATGAAACGTACTTTGGAAGAAGGTGGCTGTTCACTGTCTAACAGAAAGGTCAGATTCTGCTTTACGAGACGAATCATTCAGCTTGCTACCAGATTCATATTTTATTATCGGGTCTAACACATGTTAGAGCTGAGAAAAACAATGAAGACATTTCTATGGATGCAAACTACGACATAAAACTGGTTTAGAAAGCAACGAATCAGCGATTCTTTTTAACGTTATGACGTGTCTGGCTTCAAATATCAGCTATTTCTTGTGTTCCACCAGCTCTGTAAGATTTCCATCAGTAAGGTTCTTTCCATTCTGATATTTCTGATAACAAGGAGCTAGATGATGTCTTAAACTTGATTTATATGATGGGTGAATTCCATATCCACAAAGCTAGATACCTTAAATTTAAACCCAGCTGCAAAATATTTGCTTCTGATCTACATGTATTAATGTCAAGCTCTGGAGACATCGTATTATATAACGGTTTTTAAGTAAATTGAAATTTTTTTCTTCTTTCTTTTTCTCTCTCCTCTATATTCCCCCCATATGTTCTATGTTCTTTATTATTGAATTATATTTCTGCAATTTAAAAAAAGTTCTTGACCTTTTTATGTTTATTTTATTTCTCGTTGTTTTTGTTATTTGTTACTGTCTGTCTTTGATTTTGGGTATTAATAAAAAAGCTTTTTGACTGGCAGGTCACTTCTTGTCCAATTAACCACGATTCATTTTGTGATTCCTCAAGTTTTCGATAACTGTTAAACTGATAACAATAAAAACAAATACGTTTTAAAATGTTGAATTACATTCGAGTAAGTATTTTAGTATATTAGTAATAATAATTTATTGATTTAAAACTTTTTTTAAGTCATCCAGCGGTCCCTTTGAAGTTCACCGAGGCCCCCGATTGAAAACCACTGTTTTAAAACATTCAAATAGACATTGCAACGTATTGAAGCTTTTCGATTATGATTTAGCTCATAACCAAAGTCGTTTATAATTGTACAGTGGTGTGAAAAAGTGTTGGCCCCCTTCCTGATTTCTTATCTTTTTGCATGTTTGTCACACTTTAATGTTTCAGATCATCAAACAAATTTAAATATTAGACAAAGATAACGACTTCATTCAATAAATGAAGGTTTTTATTATTAAGGGAAAACTAAATCCAAAACTACATGGTCGTGTGTGAAGAAGTGTTTGCCCCCCTGTTAAAACTGTGGTTTATCACACCTGAGTTCAATTTCTCTAGCCACACCCAGGCCTGATTACTGCCACACCTGTTCGCAATCAAGAAATCTCTTAAATATGACCTGTCTGACAACGTGAAGTAGATCAAAAGATCCTCAAAAGCTAGACATCATGCCGAGATCCAAAGAAATTCAGAAACAAATGAGAAAAAGTAATTGAGATCTATCAGTCTGGAAAAGGTTATAAAGCCATTTCTAAAGCTTTGGGACTCCAGCGAACCACAGTGAGAGCCATTATTCACAAATGGCAAAAACATGGAACAGTGGAGAAGCTTCCCAGGAGCGGTCGGCCGACCAAAGTTACCCCAAGAGCACAGCGACGACTCATCCAAGAGGTCACAAAAGACCCCACAACAACATCCAAAGAACTGCAGGCCTCCCTTGCCTCAGTTAAGGTCAGTGTTCGTGACTCCACCATAAGAAAGAGACTGGGCAAAAATGGTCTGCAGACTTCCAAGACGAAAACCGCTTTTAGTTTGATCTGAAACATTAAAGTGTGACAAACACGCAAAAAAATCAGAAAGGGGGCCAACACTTTTCCACACCACTGTACAGTTTCATTTACATAAAACAATAAGTTTACTTGCATCTTTCAGCAGTTTCAATCGCTTTGCGCTCCGTCTGTTTTTTTTTTTAACCCAAGCATTAAGAAATCCAATTTACAATTTCGACAGTCTGATCATGTACACTGCACTAAAAACGCACATCTTTAATTAATCGCATTGATAATAGCTGCTGCAGCCAGAGAGGACTCGGTCTCCTCGATGCAAAAGTTGAGAAGTTTGCAGTTTCACCTTCTCGTCAGACTCGCTTACAGACGCTGTAAAAACGATGTATCTCACCGCTTTAAATGTCGGGATGAGAAGTTAGAATAATGTGTAATGGTAATAAAGTGCATAAGTCAGGTGCGCGAGATCCAGCAGCCGAAGATTAGTCCTTCAGAAGAAGTACGGAACCGGAAATGGGACGCAGTCCACTGCGGAAGTGCTAACATGCTTTAGGTGTAGTAAGAGGTGACCTTACTGAAGAATTAGTGAATCGCGGGACTTTAACGCTTTAGTAATGATTTACAGGCCTTGTTAGTAAAGCGTGTCGGTTTGATAGAGTCGCTGTCTGAGTGAAGATTAAAGCAGTTGATCAGTGAGCTCGGGATGGCGGAAGCGCAGCAGGCTCGCGTGCAGAAGGCAGTGGAGGAGACGGTGCAGAGTCTGGAGAAAGAGCACATCCGGAAGATGCAGGTACGCTACTCTACTCATTTTCCTACTAAAGCCTTGATCTAGATAAAGTACTACATCTGTGTTGTTAACATTACTTCACGAGTCTTTATCCTACAGTCTTTAGTTTAAACTGCCACATCAGTTTAAATTACATTTTAGTCATTTTCTTAATCACAGAAATAACTTTATTTAGATAGGATGCATTCAATTGGGCAAAAGTGGCAGTAAAAACTTAGGTTAACAAAAAAAAAAAATACTATTTTGAATAAATACTGTTCTTTTGAACTTTGTGTTCATCAAATAATCCTGGAATAAATGTAACAATGCTTCCAGAAAAAAAAATAGACAATAATAATAATAATAATAATCATAAATGTTTCTTGAGCTGCAAATCAGCCTATCGGAATGATTTCTGAAGGATCATGCGACACTGAAGACTGGAGTAATTGATCACAGGATTACATTTTAAAATATATCCAAATAGAAAACATTAAAATGTAATGTTTCACAATATAACTGTTACATCAAATAAGCTCAGTCTTGGTGAACATAAGACACTTCTTTCAAAAACAAAACAAATCTAACAGACCCCAAACTTTATAATTGTTTTAATCACCAATTATATAATAATATATATATTTAAAAATATTGATATAGTTAATTTATATAATATACAATTACTTAATTCATTTACATATTTATTTACATTTTTTTACACATGTAGTCTCTTAATATGAAATCATAAAACCACATGTAACTAATATTTGTACAAGAATTAGGGGGAAAAAAGTTGTAAAATATTTTGGCATAGTTTAAATAGTTGTATGTACAGGTGCATCTCAATAAATTAGAATGTCGTGGAAAAGTTAGTGAGATGGTGAATTGGTGGGTTTTTGTGAAATGTGAGCCAAAATCATCACAATTAAAAGAACCAAAGACTTAAACTACTTCAGTCTGTGTGCATTGAATTTATTTAATACACGAGTTTCACAATTTGAGTTGAATTACTGAAATGAACTTTTCCACGACATTCTAATTTATTTAGATGCACCTGTAGATCATGTCACACTATAGAACATTGCTGTCAATGTTTTACGTGTCAGGTCAACTTCTGATAATGTGCAATAATCAGTTTTGTCATTCGTTCTGTTTGTCTTCTCTATTGATTTACTATATTGGCTAAAGTCGGCTGAAATGTCCAAAATATAGTTTTTGACCAGTTAATCAAAGGTTGATTAAGTAATGGCTGATAACACTCTTCAATCTTTCAGGGCCGCATGTTCCGCTGCAGCGCAGAGTGTTGTGAGAATCCCGGCCACTCCATGAACCAGGTGCACCAGTGTATCGACCGCTGCCACGCACCGCTGGCTAAAGCTCAAGAACTGGTCACCAGTGAGCTCCAGCAGTTTCAGGTGAGTCGACTTTTCAGATCACTTACTTTTAAGCTGAAATAGTGTGATTTGCAAGAACCATTTATTCACCTACAGGATCGTCTCACGAGGTGTACAATGCACTGTAATGATAAGGCCAAGGACCTGTTTGACTCCGGGGCGAAGGAGCCTGCCGTGCGGGCGCTGATGGACAGCTGTGTGGGCAGCTGTGTGGACGAACACCTGAACCTGCTGCCCAGCATGACTCGCAGACTGAAGGACAGCTTGAACTCAATACCTCAGTGAAGCTCTGACTGTGGCCGAGGCTGTATGAAATGGTTCTTGTGGACTCATGAGTGTACTAGATGGAAGAATTTGATCTTTGCTGTCACCTCATTGTGACTTGGTGAATGGCCATGTGCTGATATCTGTGTCCATATTGTTTGTGGCTTTTGTACAGACAATAAATAATGTGATCAAACCAACTTGCTGCCTGTTGAATGACAGAGGGAAATATTATGTAATCTAGCATAACAAGTTATTATTTAATTGACAGCACAAATTAATATAAGTTTAAAATATAACATTGAAAGAAGCAATGTAAATATATTGCATTTAACATATGAGAATATTTTTTAAATTATAATAAAAATAATGCCACAATATAAAAAAAAAAGTCATAATGGTCCTAAAAACTGCATACACACACATATTCTAAAATAGATATATATATATATATATATATTGTGAGTGTGTATTTGTGTACATAAAAAATCATCCTGTTAAAACCAGTTTTAGTACTGCACTGAGATGTTTCTTCACACTGCAGATTTAAAAAGTGAGCGCAATTTCTTCTGTCTGTACTGTTTTAATGAATATTTTGAATTTTTTCTATCACATGACACTTTGGTCCAACAATATTTACATTTAACCAAAACCACATTGTGTATAAATATTGAAAATTGTACTGCTTCATTGGACACCTGTGGAAATCACTTAAAATGCCCTGTTGATAAACCAACACATGCCTGTTAACCCTTCACTGTTCCTACATCAGCATGCATTGACAAAAAATGACAACATGTATCACGTTAGCACCAATTTCAAACAACTATGACAGTACAAAACCGATATTCAGGCTTTTTCTTTTTTGTAAAAAAAAAGGGAATGACTGACAAATGAATAACCAGCCAAACAAGTTTAAATAAGACTATTTCCAAACAAATACAAACAGAATCAAATGAAGTTCATGACCAAGAGCACTTACTCTTAGCTCTGATGCTGATATAACACATTATTTAAAAGGCATCTGACTATTTACAAATTAAGCATACAAATAAAATGAATGAAATAATATACATGAAGCCTGACGGCTGGCCTGGTGGGCGATGGAGGTTTTATGCTGTGTGTGGTCACGACACACTGTGGGCGCTGTTCTCCGGCTCCGGTGTGTCACCTCTCCTCTCACTGGACGGGGAAGTGTAGAGGAAGTTACAGCACACATACAGAGGAAAAGACAAGAGCCGGCTGTCCAGATTCATCACCACGTATTCCTGCGTACATATAACACAATGAAGCTGTTCAGTCAAGCCAAGCCTTAAAGTAACTGGAAATATACTGGTTTTATATTTAACATTACGACAGAATACCTGGTCCTTTTCAAGAGTAACAAGCTGGTAGCCAGTTGACCGGCTGCAAACCACTTTTCCACTGTTATCAAATGAAGCAAGACGCAATCTGAAAAAAAAAACATTATTATCCAACTTATTAAATATGAAATTAAATCATAATGACTATATTAAATATATATGTAATATATTTATCAACATTATTTAATATACATTTTATTTAAGGCAAATCACTACAGGGAAAACTATTGTTTTTTTTCATGCATTGGTCAATTTTGAGATTTTGGGCTATTTTTTGCTTTCATAACATCAGGCTAGCAGAACGAAAACATACAAAATACACATTTGTTTATTTTATTCCATTGTATCCATTTGCAACTGAAGGTTTTAATTACAATACATATCTTTAAAGACCGTTTATATTCTGAAGTTGATTTTTTTACAGAGTTCATTCTGTAAATAATTTGTCTAGTTTTATAGAAAATGTTTAATTATCGATTTTTTCCCCAAAAAAATATGGTGAAAAATGATCTTTTACTGGCTGTTGACTGGACTTTCTGATTTATGAAGTGATTAAAATATACCAAAATCCCAGCTGTAAAAATCCTTCAACTTTAATATGTTAAAGGAGAAAGAAATGTATGCAATTTAGTGCATTTTAATTAGAGAATGCTTATTTTGCATATTTAAACGTAACAGTTCAACTATGGTGATATCTGTTAATTAAATATTTGAATTATAAAGTAATTATTAAACTCATATACAAACATAAATTGATATATGTTGTGCTTATATACTTTCATTACTAAGAAACACATATGTCCAATATATGTACAAGAAAATCTTATTATTATGATTGATAGTTTAGGCAGACTGTATGACATAAAATATGTTATATTACTCATTCCTCCATGATATAATATAATATAATATAAGAAATAATCCGAGGTGTACGGCTCACCGGTATGCAAGGTGGCGTCGTGGCTGTAAACTGACAGCGCCTCCACATGGCTGACTGAGGGTGTTTCTCTTAAAGATGATGAAACGATTTGTATAGGTCACCAGCAGGTCAAAGCCATAATTGACGTAAGAAGCATTTCAAGGTCCTGGAGTGGCCTAGCCAGTCTTCAGATCTCAACCCCATAGAAAATCTTTGGAGGGAGTTGAAAATCCGTGTTGCCCAGTGACAGCCCCAAAACATTACTGCTCTAGAGGAGATCTGCATGGAGGAATGGGCCAAAACACCAGCAACAGTGTGTGAAAAGACTTACAGAAAACGTTTGACCTCTGTCATTGCCAACAAAGGGTATATAACAAAGTATTGAGATGAAATTTTGTTATTGACCAAATACTTATTTTCCACCATAATTTGCAAATAAATTCTTTAAAAATCCTACAATGTGATTTTCTGGATTTTTTTTTCTCATTTTGTCTCTCATAGTTGAGGTATACCTATGATGAAAATTACAGGCCTCTCTCATCTTTTTAACTGGGAGAACTTGCACAATTGGTGGCTGACTAAATACTTTTTTTCCCCACTGTGTATATATATATATTCCATTCTAAACCAAAACATGCAGCAAATGATACAATATATTTAATAGCAGGAGTCCAACTCACATCTCCATCTTTGGTCAGTTTTCGGCCACAGCGCATGCTGTTCAGCTCAAACTCCTCTTTATTGGCCTCTTGTGGTCTGTAACAATCATATTCACTTATTTGCAACTCAAACCCCATTTAATGTTTAGCAGTGACGATGTTTGGGCCGTTCTCTCACCCGTTATCGTTATCATGTTCTGTCCTCAGCATAGCAAACCACTGCTGTTTGTACACGGCGCTCAGCCACTCTGATAAAGACACAAGAGGAAGTGGAGTTCATATCCGCCCCACTAATCTCAGCCTCAGGTAACAATGGACCATCTGAGGACTATCTGATGCATACCGCACACAAAACCAGCAAAACTGGTCTCAGAAATCTTTAATCTGACCAGCTTCGTGTCATTTCTGGGAGGAAAGTCTCACCAGGAGGTAGGATGTTGTCCCGTTCCAGCAAGCGGGCCGAGGCCAGGTCATTGATGATGTACTGCAGGCGGATGTGTCTGAAAACGGGGACGAAGGGCATCCCGTCATCTGTGTTCAGAAACGGCTCCTCTTCTCCAGCCTCTGTGTATGAGTGTGGCAGTTAGGGGAAGGTTATATAAATGCACTTATGTAGTTCTATGCATGGAACGTACCACTTCTTCTTTTACACAGCCAGGCGTCTGCATCGAGCAGAAGTTGTTTGATAGGCCCATCCCAGGATGGATTAAGCTGCAAGAACATCCACTGAAAAAGAGTCAAATATATACAGCAGTGATGTAGTTTCAGTGCACCACTAAACACCAGCTTTAACCCTGTAAAGCAGGACATATGAAATAACATTAAAAAAAAAAATCAAATTTTTTGACACTCAACTATTAGAATGCAATTAAAATGTTATGCAACTTTATACTGTTTTCGCATCATATTTGATACACCAGGTATTTATAGTAACTGATCACAACAAAAGTGTATTTGTCATCGTATTTATAATCTTTGAAACACTTTTCTTTTTTTATTGTTCATAAAAGAACCTTTAAATTGACATCAATATTTCAAAACCTTTTCAATGCCAACAAAAAAATATCAGGTTACAAATAAAATAAAAAGTATGTTAGTAGTATAGTAGAGGATGTGTAATAAATATATTAATATATAAATAATATTATGATTAATAATAAAAAAGGGTAGTAAAAACACTGTTAGTTAAAATCATTATATAATAACATAAAAATATAAAATCAATATAAAATATAAAAACACGTACGAAATCAGTTCCTACTGTGTGTATGTGTGTACATCCATATATAGGCCTATATTTGTTTTTCATTTAAAGTTAAAATGTAAAATATGTAAAAATAATAATTTTAATTGAAATAAAACTTCATTTTATTTAATATGATTCAAATTTGAATCATATAATAAATTATTAGTTGATAATTAAATATTGATCATTTTGGCTGAGGTGGGCATAATACATCACAAAATGCATTACAAAGAAATAAATAGACTTCAAATGCATGCTGTATGATATTTATTACTTTTTTAATACAATTTTTCTATAATGCATGAACTGTTAAGTAAGCATAAGTTGCATAATTCCACTAAATATTAATTTTAAAATATAACTAACAATATAGAATGCATTCTTGTTCCTTTATCAAAATAAATATATAAATAAATATTTAATTTATTATATTTTATATCAGACAATAATAATAAAGTACTATATGTTTTGCCTGTAATATCATGAAATGCTATGATGATATATGACGGCATCTACCTTTTTCAGTGCCGTGTAGACGTCCATTTCCACTTGCATTACGAACAGATCAGAGGACTGAATGAGCTGTTCCATAATTTCCACCCTACACACACACACACATATTAAAACAGACCCAATATTTACTAGCACTAAAACCTTCAGATGAGGTCAGACACAGATGCACATAGTAAGGCTGTACCCGAGCTCCTTCATTAGGTCCACGTTCTGATGCGTCATGAGGTTATTGAGGAGCCACTCTAAACACCTGCAAAGCACAGAGAACATGCGACACGTTTCTTATGTCACACGTGTGTTAGAGAATAATCAGAAAGGAAATCAGACAAGACTACTGACTTCTTCATGACGGAGTCCAAGCCGTACATGGTGGCCGCGTTATAATAGCTGCACACAGTCTTCACATTCACGTTCTCCTTCATGGTCTCTCCACACTGCTGGATCAGTCCATCCTGGGAAAGACAAACGGCAAATCATTAAGGAAGAGAACCTGCAGAGGTGATTACAACT